TAATTAAATAAAATAAAGCATAATTAAATTTAAATATACATTAAAACTAAAAATAAATGATATTACTTACCTTTCAGTTGCTCTCGGAAAACAAAAATTACTACTCTGGTGAATCAAAATGCATTTTTGCCAAATTTTTGGTTTGCGTCTGTTCCCAAAATTTCCAGCTCCAGCTACTATTTGAAGAAAGAGATGGGATGAAAGTGATTTGGAGAAAGAGAGAAAGATATTTGAAGAAAAAGTGATATGAAGAAAGTGAGACAGAGAGATTTGAGGAATGATCGATAGAAAGTAAAAAAGTGAGAGGAGAGGATAGTTTTTTTTATGGATTTTTATATGGGGATTCAGACGGTTGGGGTTGTGCCACTTGGCACGCCGTCCGAGTTCCCCATAAAAGGTGACATTCATAAATAAAAAATTTGAATGTCTTGGGAGGCGCCGAGGGAAAACTAGGATTAAATACACATTTTTTTTAATAGAATAAGTGTTGCGAGGGATTGAGGGCGTGATTCGGAGTCGTAAGGGACTTCTCTCGACACTTAAAAGACTTTCAGGAGGCGTTTGGTACAAGAGAAATTTTTTTTTTGTTTGGAAATCTCGATTTTCAAAAATATTATTTTTACATTCAGTTTACGATAATATCTGAAAATTTAAAATTTACAAAAAATTATTTTCTCGGAAATCCTAAGATAAGCCATGTACCAAACGACCCCAGTGGTAATTTTTCTCTATCAGATGCCAATTTGATATATTAAAAGCACAAAGACACCAGTCTAGTCAAAGAGCCAAAAAATAGGGGTGACGCAAAGAGTTACCCCTGCTGTAACTAAAAATAAAAAATTGTAATTTTAGAACATTGGGCTAGGGGCATTGCTTGTAGGTAATATAATTAAAGATATACCCTTCCGAACTAAGTTTACGTTACAATTATAGTGTTGGACTTAATTGATTATGAAAAAGGATGTTGTTGATGTTGCAAAAAGAAAAACTTTACCCATAATTACTTAATTTAACTATTGTGACTGTAACTGCGCTAAATATCATATGAGATGTTAACAAATTGGTCCAAAAATAAAATGTTACAAAAACAGTAACCCATTAACCCAGCACCCGATCTAGTCAGTGCAGATTTAATAACATATTTTAGATGCATTGAATATTTATTATTCAATACTTTGAATTACTTAAAAAATAATAACTACTTTAAAGTTCTAAACATTATCAAATTTGATATTTTCTATTTGATATTTATTGTTTTAAATGTCTTAACGAGTGCTTTTGGGATATTAATTAGCAAAATTCTAAAAATTATCATTTTATATATAACGTATTAATTTAAGTTTAAATAATCTTATTACTTAGAACTATTTTTTTAAAAATAAGTTTTATAATAATATATATGAACAAAGTAGAGTGGATCAGTAACAAAAATTGTGACGCATTCCCCATATGCAATACACTCAATAAAATTTTTAAAATCTGACCAAATTAAGTTTTAAGTAACCTTAATTTTAAGTTTACGAGGGTTGCTTCCTCGCAACAACAGGTCCTTATGGCTCACAAGTTAGTTACCGACATGTCAACACATAATGTCTTGTCTCAGTTTCAAGTGTTAGGAAACACTAATTAAATTGTCACTCTTCATCAAATTTTTTTATTTAAATGTCATGTGAATTGTGTTATTTCTCAATATGTCACATGGACAAATTCAATGAACACTGTAGCGAATTCAGTTTGCTGACGTGTCGCATGAACATCAAGTACCAAATTCCCTACTTGGGGTAATGAACTTGGTTGGAATGCATAAATTTTATGTATTGCAACCAAGTTCGCTACCCCAAGTTGCGAACTTGGTGTCTACTAAAAACGTTACACATTAGCAAATTGAGTTCTCTATAATGTCCAGCGAACATGCCTATGTGGCATATTAGAAAATAATACTGTTCACGTGATACTTGGATAAAAAATTTGGTGAACAGTGACATTTTGATAACTATTCCTCAAATGTTATCTAGTGAAGATTTTTCCTTTTTTTTTTTGAATTAATTAATAAAAGAAGAAAAAACTTCAAACTTCTTTGAGTTTGAGGGGGAAAAAACCTTCCCGAATGATGTGATTTAACTAAATACAATGCACTGAGAGGAAACGTGAGATGGCGGAGAGCCACAACCACAAGTGTGGACCTAACTCACCACGAATGGTACAGCTACGATAGCGTACGCATTTGGTTAGGCTTGGCTAATAACCTCAATTGACTATTTTAATAAGCAGCACTAGATCACCATGTCCCCTCCTCCTGCTTTGATACTCGCGAATTTGCAATGTGGTTCGAGTTATATGGATTTAGCTAGAGTGTAATGTAAGTTGTGAATATGAATATATTTAACATGAAAAAATTAGTTAAAAATTTCGACGCCAATACAATTTATTTATTTTATGATGGACACGAAGTGATAAGAATAATTCGTCAACATCAAAATATATTATTTATTATACCTTTGATATAATAAAATACGATACAAATAATTTGTCAATTTTAAAATGTGTTATTTACACTGCGAATTAATACAATATGATATGATACGAATAATTTATGATAAGATTAATACAATCAATTTTATATTTTCCGTTGGGCACACAAATTTTTATAGGTTATTTTTTATTAACCTGAACATAATACAAATTTAAAATTAAGGAGTTGAAGTCCCGACTCATAATTAATTTCATAGCTAATTTAAAAAGTTAAAACTATTTAAAAATATTCGAAAAATGACTCCCCTTGAAAAGGTAATTAAAGTCTGTATATATAAAAAAATAAATAGAATAAAAAACAATTTAACCCCAATATAAATTTCTCATTTCATTTTCCTATCATGTCGGCAAGTTGGGTTATTAGAAGTCTCTGCCTTAAAATTTAGCTGACCAAACAGTGAGGCTGACATACGTGACCCCATTATTTAACATTTTAATCAAGCAACACATGTTTTACTTCCTAGATAAAAAATCTAATTTTTTTAATTTTAATCAGTGTTTTAAAACACCACCCCACCTCCTAGGTTGACCCGGGTCAACCCTGACCCCTCCCCTCTGAGGGTTGGAGTCACAAGTTAGACCCTCTATGCATATCGACCCCTCCAACCCCCAAAACCCAGCCGGGTTTCAGTGACTCCTGGGTCAGAGGAGTCAAAGGGGGTCACTGAATGTTTTTTTTTTTTAAGAAAATTTCATGAAACAACGTCGTTTTATTAAAAAAATAAAATAAAAATGCTTGCAAACCTAAATTTAATCGTTCTCTTCTCTCCCAATGACCTAAACTTGTGGTATCTTGATACTTTGGTATCATTAGAATATGTTTTGTACTTTGGTATCTTGATACTTTAATTAGGTTGTATACTATTGACTTGTGGCTATAATTGATGAATTATATTAAGTATATTTTCAATTTTTGATGATTGGTGATTTTTTTTTAATATTTTCATATAGGATATATATATTTATATTTTTTTAATATATAAAACCGGATCAGCATAGTGACCCCGTGACCCCCCCGGTTGAACCCGTGACCCCTGACCTCGGCCGGGTCGATGGTCGGCCGAATTTTTAAACACTGATTTTAATAAATAATTACGAAAATAATTTTATTTGGAAAGTATCTACAAAATTAATATAACTGGTTGCATTGAACATTGGGCGCAAGTGAGTTATGCCTAAACTGATTTACTCCTGCAATATTAAAATAAGAATAAATATTATTTTTGATCTTCAGCAAATTTCACGATGCCCGTTTTAGTCTCTAGCAAATAAAAAGGCCTATCGTGGTCCCTAAGAAATTCAACATGGACCCATTTAGTTGAAATCGTAGTCTCTCACAAATTCAAAAAAAACCCATATTAGTCTCTAAAATGACTAAAATGGATTTATTTTAAATTTCTTAGGAATCACAATGGGCCTTTTTATTTGCTAGGGACTAAAGTGGATATCGTGAAATTTGTTGAGGACCAAAAATGATATTTACTCTTAAAATAAAATTAAATAAATATTATTATTTACAAAGAAAAAGTTACTTTAATTTTTGTTTGGTTTGACAAAAAAAAATATATTTATAGACAATTAAGATCACTTTACATAAATGAGATACGAGAGAATTAAATCCAAGCTCAATCGAACCTCATCTATTGAAAAATGACGAGTTAAATAGATTTAATCTTAAAAATAAACATTTTGATTGTAATTTTTTTATGTTTCAAATTTTAGCATTTCAATAGTATTTGAATATTGAAATTAACTAATTTCTAATTAAAAATCCAATAATTCATTGCTTAATGTAAATTTTATTTTACTTTTTATAATTATCAATTGATGTATGAAATTCCGACTAATACAATTTGGAGCTTCTATAAAACCAACGCATTTTAATTTGAATGAACGCCGGCTTAGTCAATCAATTTTAACAAAATAATAAAATATTTATCTTTTAAAACATAGATATTTTAGTTAAAATTAATATTTTCTCATGTAATATTTAAATTAATTTTTTTTATTTTATAAATTACATATATTCTTCATAGTAGATAATTGTGTTTGAAGTGGATCTAAAATTAAGATTTTAATTAATTTTTTTTACTTTCTCTCTCCATATTTTTGTTTCTCTCACTGTAATTTACAATAATTTTAATTAAAATAACATAATTTTTATGTTTTTAAAAAGATAAATATTAATTATAGAAAATCATACTCATACAAATGTCGAAATAAATATAAAGTATTAAATTTGGGAAATCATGACCATACAAAGATTAAAATAAATATAACCGTTGATTAACATAATTAATCTAACGGTAAAATTGATTAATAGTAACATTAATAGTAGCACAACTTGATTGTTTACAATATCCTTTCCTTAATAATAAGGTTTTCGAATATTTACCAAATCCAAAAGATATTTATTATTTCTTTTAAAAAACTTCTTCATGACTTCATGTTCATAGCTGCTACTTGTTACAGCTGTCTATACTCTCTCTCTCTCTCTCTCCTTTGAAATCCCTTCTCAATTCTGTGGCAATTGAAACAAGCAGATCGAAGTCTTCCATACCCATTGATCGTTTCTTGTTGACAATCCTACTTGTAAGATAAAGATTCTATTTTGTTTCCAAAATAACAACAATATGAGCGTCATTGACATTCTGACCAGAGTTGACTCCATTTGCAAGAAGTACGACAAATACGACGTCGAAAAGCTCAACGATTCCAATATCTCCGGCGACGATGCCTTCGTCAGACTCTACGCCGTCGTCAACGCCGACATCGAGGCATTGCTTCAGGTAATGTCACAAAATAACGTAGAGATTTGGGAGTAATGAACCATTTTGTGCCCTAGTTGGTGAAATATTATTCATTAAGTTACTTGGAATCTGAGTTTTCTTCAAGTTTTCTAATGCTATCTGGAGTATAATTCACTTATTTATTTTTTCAATTTTTGTATAGAAAGCTGAAACCGCTTCCAAGGAGAAAGGTAAGGCATCTGCTGTAGCGATCAATGCAGAAATTCGTCGTACCAAGGCTCGGTTGCTTGAGGAGGTTCCCAAGTTGCAGAGGTTGGCTGTAAAAAAGGTTGTTTTTTAATTGTGAATTCTCAACAATGTTGTGCTGGAGCTTTTCAACTGTAATGAAGAACAACTTGATTTGCCAAACTAATCTAACTAATAACTTGTTAGCAGCTAAGGTAGTTTCTATGATCTAATTGAAGAGTTCTTTTATAAAATTTGAACAATGAGAAATGCATCCAACTTCTCATTTCTGCTTTTACTAGTGCAACTATTCATCTTTAGAGGGTTAGACTTGTTGTTTCTGTCTGTAGTACTGATTATTTCAATCTACTATTGTGTTATTCCGTTTGATGTGCGTATTTTCTCCATAGCGTTATTGGTTGTTTATTTGTTTTGCACCTTGGTAACTTAATAGCATCCGAAGTTTCAAAATTAGTGATAGTACATTTGGTGGTGCCTGATATAATATATCCACAGGTGAAGGGGCTTTCGTCACAAGAATTTGCTGCCCGTAATGATTTGGTTCTTGCATTGCCGGAGAGAATCCAAGCTATACCAGATGGGACTCCTGCTGCGCCAAAACAAACTGGGGGCTGGGCAGCTTCTGCCTCACGTGCTGAAATTAAATTCGATTCAGGTGGTTGAAGTTATACATGTTTCAGGCTGATGCGATTATAGTATTTCATCTGTTGGAGACTTTTTAATCGACTGTCTCTGTTTATTTGTATGAATCATCTCAATTACAGATGGACGATTTGATGATGAATACTTCCAACAAACTAAAGAATCAAGTCAATTCAGGCAGGAATATGAAATGCGTAGAATAAAACAGGCAAGTTATTTTTATCAGTTGTAACCAGGCAAGAGAGAGAGAGAGAGGGTTTGTTGTTGTCCTTTACCTGATACATATGTTGATTATTGAATGTCACTCTAGCAATGGTTTCAACTTTCAAATCTAATTATATGTAACATTTTAGGATCAAGGTTTGGATATGATTGCAGAAGGATTGGATACATTGAAAGACATGGCGCATGATATGAATGAGGTCAGTTGCCTTATTGTTTTTATCTTCCCTTCTGCGTTTGTGTTGTAATAATACTTTTTAAGTTTGATATTAATGTGCTAAAATACAGGAACTGGATAGACAAGTTCCGCTGATGGATGAGATTGACACTAAGGTGAGAATTATCAATGTCTGCTTGTATACCAAACAAAGACTGAAAAGTTTGAAATATAGGCTTTTGGAACTTGAATTACAAAGTTGAAATTAATGACACAATTGTTTGTCATCTTCACAGGTGGATAAGGCATCCTCTGACCTTAAGAATACCAATGTTAGACTTAAAGACACAGTGAACCAGGTTATCTAACTACAACTCTTTCAGTCTTGGATTTCCAACAATTTCCAGTTCTTTCTTGTGAAAGATTTCTTGCTTTATCTTATGTGAGTTTTGGTTTTCATCCAGCTTCGATCCAGTCGAAACTTCTGTATCGATATTGTTTTGTTGATTATAATTCTGGGAATTGCTGCCTACTTATACAAGTAAGGTTCCTATCTCTTTTCATGAACTTGAAAACACTCAGCACTTTTTTTTCCCCTCATGAATTGTACGCCCAAAGTATTTCAGTACTACTGAATTTGCATGTTGATTTGAATACTGAAAATTTGGTGTATCTACTAATACAGGCATGTGTGGTAAATGTGAGGTGCATTTTTAATTGTCCCTCTGATTGAAGATTTAAAACTTAAATTTCATATGGTAACCTTAAGCTGCATCTTAAGTTTGAAGTTGGGCATATTGTTTGTTAGTAAAAGCATTCGTCTCACATTCCTGATATGGTATTGTAGCTTTTACTGCAGAGCTTAATCTTATTTTGTTCCCTCTCTAGCCTGTGTCTCATATACCTTTGCTTACTTTCTGACATATAATTCCATCATCTATTTTCTTCGCAATCCATATTAGCATATCCTTTATTGCCTCTTTACAAGAATCATAATATCCTTCCCTAACACTGTACTACTGAACTCTGTTGTAATTAGGGGACATTTAGTTGAAGTGATTATGGCATTCATTTGAAATTAGAGGAGAATACAGTTATCGAGTAAAACTAGAACGTTTACCTGCAATGGTTATTTGCAAACTATTGTAGCCAAATTAATTTCTGGGAAATTTGATATGGTACCATCATATATAAACAAACGTTTAAAACATCTCTAGAGATGGTAGTTATGTAATGATTGGGATTGTAATGATTTCTTAGGATTGGGGATTGTGCTTGTAATTTCAGTTTCTCTTCCCTATTATGCTTTCATTGAAATATAAACAAAAAACTACAGCATAAGTCAATTTTCTAATGCAATTGTGTTGAAATAAAATGTCATGTCGGTACTTAAATTTGAAAATTCTTAACTATTTGAGGCATTAATATCTGAATTCTTCAAATTTTCGAGGTAGTGTTTGTTTGCGTGAACATTTATAAACTTGATTTTGGATGATCTTGATTTTGTAAAATTGATTTTGGTTAAAAGTGGGTTTGAAGTGGTTCTAATAGAACTATAGAAGTAATGTTGATTGCATATGTTAATAAAATTCACTTTTCGATGTGTAATTAGTTATTGGAATATTTTTGTCAATACTCATGCAACTTGGTTTTTCCGAGCACATGTAGTAGGTACTTCTTTAAGGAAAGTAAAATAAAATAAAGTCATATGGCATTAATCATAAAGTGATGGATAGAAAAGGTGTAGGAAACTGGATTACTTTTTTCTAACTTTGGTAAGTGATCTATTGAGTCTTCAGTATTAGGAGTACCAGAAATATTTTCGTCTTTTCCACTGCTTTGTCAAAACCATGGTCTGAGATACAAAATTGATTCTTCACAATTTTACCAACCATGTTGGCACAATGAACAATGCACATTTGCATATATTGAACGGGCTTCTAAGGGTGCCAACTTTATTCCAAACACAGGCGTAGTAGCTGCTTGTAACTATTCTGATGGCATCGCATAGCATGTGTCTTAGGGTGGTGTTTACTTCTCTTCCATGCTTTGTTTGCTTCTTGAGATACCTTTCTGACATGATGTGCTCATTTTGCAGTGTACTAAAGAAATGATATGATTCACAAGGCTATGGATGTGTTCGTATGGTTTGCCTGTATTTCTTGTATTTCGAGAATATCCTGTCTGATCTTTTTGTATTTTATTTTTATCACTGTAAAAATTTCCCACTACTCGAGAGATTTACGGTTGTCGTTTATAAACTGTCCCTTGTTTTATATACTTGTTTAGGTGTATATTACACTGATGATTTAAGATGGTTGCTTTAATTGGTGTGAAATTTAAGTTGAAGTTAGCTACCTACAAACATGAAAAAAGAAGTGTGAAGATCCGCTTAATAAATGAAATAAAATTGGATTCAAATAATTTTTTTTTTTCTTGGCCTGCAGACTTTGATAATTAGTTTTTAGAATCTTGTGATCTGTGACGAAATCCTTCATACCATTAATAATGGTGTGATTACATGTAACATCATGTTTTTATTTGAATGACCGGCAACAAGAATATGTTGTTTGTGGTACCATAAGGGAATTTTCATTCTTTTGGTTAATCACCTTGTGGCTAAAGCCACGCTATGATTAACCCTCTACACCTATAGCACCACTTCTGGTACCAGAAGGCAATGTAGGTGGTGGGTGGTGTTTACCAGCAATTTAGAGATATAAAATTAAGTGAAAACGTCTTGCGTTTAAGGGTAAGTTAGTGTTTGGACAGGAATTACTTTCACACAAAAGGTATAGGATATGCAATTTTTTCATTTTCCAGAAAAAAAGAAAAAAGAAGCAACATCAGTTAATAATACTTCTCTTTTCTTAAGAAACTCCAAAGTTTGGCATGTAGCCCAAATCGAAGAGAGTGCTTGGTCTCTGCTTTAAAGCTATGGGAAAAAGTGGTGTGGGTGTGTGTAATAGGGTGTGTGTGAGTGTGTGGTTGTGTGTTTTATTTCCCGTAACTTACAAAAAAAAAAAAAGTTATGGGAAAAACTATTCTCATGTTACATGAGACAAGTTTTCTCTCCTACACACTCTTTGATAATTGTGTCATTTTTTTTTTTTTCCAGATAGTGAAGCCACTAGTTTGTCTCTATGACATGAGATAATTATCTTCCTTAACATGAGATTAATAAAACTCTAAGGCTATTTAAATAACATGGACCAAAAATATTTAGAAGCTATTTGAATGATATGCCAATCTGCTGATAAAAATGTTACTAGCCATTGTGCAGAAAATGGTTCCTAGCTTGTCCAATTAAAATAGATTTCCTAATGCGTGTCATTGTTATGTGCATTTTAGTTATTAATTTTTCAACAACGCATGGGCAGGGACTCGAGCAAGTTCCAATTCCAAGACATTGTTTTGATCTGTGTTTCCCCCTACAAGGATAATGTTCTCAAATCATACATGTCATATAGAAAGTAATAAACAACATGTCATGTATATGTTTATTGAGGCAAATCTCCAATTCAATTATTATATTCTTCAATTGGGAATTTAAATAAGAATATGCAGGTGTAGTTTTAAATCATATTCCTGAAGATTATGTTTATGTTGCCAATTTATTTAAATTAAATAAATATAATGACACAAATCCAAAGATCTTTAATCATATTTATTTATCCAAACGCCAGTCATTTTATAATAGACAAAATATTTAGCGCAATGGATTTTCAATAGCTAAAAGCAACATTTTTATTAGTATCATGTAGAGGGACGCTATTTGGTGCGAAAATTTTCCAAATGGCAAATAACCAATCAGGTTGATGGGTAACCAAACATGAGGGAATAAATCTTTGTGCAACAGATGTACCTAAGATTTATTCAACACGGGGGAATGGCCGAATGGGTAAAATACAATTGCAAAAATAGCTGTGACACATAAAGTCGTGTAGCTCTCGTATAAACAATATTCTTTCGTTTTAGCATTTATCGCCATGAAAATAAATTTTGCAAGTAACTAGTACTTCAAATTTCATTCTTAAATTATTTTTGAACGTATATTACAATCGACAACTCAGTTGCTTCATATATGAGGCAAGCTATCTTTCAAATGTCACACAGCTGAAAATAATATCCAATAATGAAGAATTGTATAACAAGCTTCTCTTTCTCTAGTCTGTGTTTATTTTATCTATATATAGATAGCCCTCAGATTCCACTATTATATATGCACATGCATGTATTGATGTACATTTACATAAACTAATCATATATACATCCTGTAAAGGCTAAGTTATTAAGCTCTTGAGGTTGTATAGCAGAAGTCCACTGATCAAAGTTGTGGTAATTGTAGCCTTTGCTTACATCTGTCTCAAGTCTTTGCTTCTCATCATCAACTTCGCTTATCTTTTTATTCTGTGGAGCATAAAAGTCCAACTGATTTTCTTCAACAGCTTTTCTCTTCAGTGGATTAAGCAAGCTCTCCGAAACAGATGCTAAGAACTGTGCTCCAGTTAAGTCATCTTCATGGGGTGAAGTATATGCTTCTGTATGAAAGCCTGTTCTTGAGGCTGTACCAATAGAATTTGGCAGAGTATACTTAGAAGCCAGAATATAGGGTAACATTGGAAGATCATTGCCCACGTAGTTTTTTACTAGTTCAGGATTAGAGTTTCCATTCATTTGTTGAAAATAGCTTGTTGGATCATAACTAGGTTCATTTGAATCTTCCCATGTGCTTCTTGGGCTGCTGGTTTTTAGTTGAACTCGACATAGCACACACTCATCCAACTATACCACAACAAGAGAAAAAATAAATTAATAGATAAACTTTGTCAAAACTTGTATCATTATTGGTTTAAAGTTTAGGGAAAAGTGTTTCTCTTTTTCAGGTATCTCCATATCTCCTGCGACCTTAAAACGATGTTATTTTGAAGTTACAGAAGATAAATTTATCTACGTGACCAGAGAAACACTAAACCCAAAGTTGTGAGATGATAAAAAAAAATTGAACTCATGTAATTGACATACTCTCATAGACCCTTTTAGCTTGGAATTCAAGATAACTGAATCGTGCAACTTATACTCATGCATGATCCAATCAGTTTTATATCCTTTTGGGGGATGTCCCTTGTAGAAAACAAGGGCCTTCTTAAGTCCAATATTCTTATCTCCACAAGAAGTAAGAATTGGTTTTTCAGTCCCTGTGGTCTTCCAATAACCTGAACCAGCTGCTCTATTAGGCCTAACTCCATTGGGATACTTTCTATCCCGAGGGGTAAAGAAATACCACTCATTTTCTCCAAACAAAGCTTTGCCTATTAAAAATGAAAAGTTAGAATTTCTTTTGTCACTTTCCTTCAAGAAAACATTGAAACAAAAACTAGAAATAAAAAAAGAAGTATTAATTGTTAACACAAACTTGGAAGCTCCCATGGATTATATTTGTAAAGATCTATTTCTGCAATGAATGAAGCAGGAAGGGGACATGAATTCACTTTGTTTCTCAGATAGTGAACAATGAGCTCCTCGTCAGAAGGGTAGAATCTAAAACCAGGAGGGAGTTGGATTTCGAAATTGGGATCTTTGTCCATGAGATGAAAATGTATAATGCCTATACGGAGGAACCTAGGGAATGTATCAGTCAATTGTGTATATTATTGATCAAAATATTTGTAATCTTGAAACCATTGTGCATGGGTTATCAATTATATTTATATATTAAATGCTGCATGGTCATGCAGAGAAGGACAATTATCAGGTAATATAATAGTAGGTAGATTATATTGCATTTGCAATGTGTGGGGAAAGAGACACGGAAAGCAACCCATTTGTCCCATGTTGTATGACCAGAATTCTTAGAACAAACCATCTAAAAAATATGGGAAAAATGTGTGTAATTTTAAAGGATGTTTGTGTTATTTTAAGTTAGAGAAAGAGATAGATAAAGAGGGAGAGAGAGAGTGAACCAAAAAAAATAAAGGTGTGGGTCCCACCTCTTTGTGAGAGTAAAATGACATAAGTTGTGTCATTTAAAAGGACAATCACTTTTCTCAAAAAATATAGTTTGATGTGATGTGGTATCTCCTATCATAGACAAATGAAAACTTGGAGATAAGTATTTTTTACAATAGACACATGAAGTGACGTGACCCATCATCCATTAAAAAAGGAAGAAGAAAAAAAGTGGTGACATAATTTTTTATATGCGAAGAGCATGAGATAACTATTTTATGTAAAATAAGAGAATAATTTTCGATAATTTATTCAGCATGATTACTAAGAAATTTAGATAAAAGATTGAGTCCTATTTGGTAAGGATACCTGGTAGCTTCCTCTACTCTGATACGCAGTCTAAGTTTTACTTTCACAGAAGCAAACCAAGTAGCTGTGATGTACTAGCTAGCTATAGTCATTATGGATTCAGTACTCTCCAGAATGTGGACATGCTTGTTTCATAAGCTTGTGCCCCACGAGTGGTGAATAAAAATCTAGATGTTATTGGTTTCATGAATTCACTTTTGTTTAATAGCTGCTGAAAAGATGTTTGAAAGTGGATATGAAGTAACGAATAAACTGTTAGAGCAGTTTGGATTTTGTCTGACATGGAATTTTGTTCCAGTTAAAGTGTTGAATGTATTTTGGACATGGATTTCTTGGCAATTGTCTTTTAATGGATTTCACCAATAGGTCGTATTGGACCTTCAACATTTGAAATCTTTTGGCATTGTCCAAATCAGGGTTCTTTTATAATCAAATCCACTTATTCCAATATTGGAAGACCTTACAGCATTATGTGTGTTTACATACTTATATATAAAGTCCAAGTTGGCTTAAATTTAAACTGAATGAAATGTTCCTTTTCCAAAAAAAAATTCTTTTTTATAACACAAAAATTCAAAAGGCCTCAGATGTTTCATTTTTTATTGTCATCCGCAAAATATGACAAATGTGTGTATTATATTTATATCTGAAGCTTGACACAGAATTATACAAAATTATATGAGCTTTGACCATTGAAAACCGGCCTTACTTATTCTTGGCCACACACTGACACTCATAAACACAATGCACCATATTCTGGTAATTACCATCTGTACAGTCTACTAGGAGTGTGATGTATGTGTGTGTGTATAATAATTTGAACTAGATAGAAAAAGCAAGTTCCTTGTAAATTATATGACAATACATAATTGGTCTAATTGCATTCAAATGGAATTTAGTTTAAAAAAAAAAAAAGATGTACTTTTTAATCTCCCCATTTTTTAAAGTATTTTTGGAGCCTACTAACATGGAATGAAAGTTATTAGTCTGCTGATCAGAGGTTCCTTCTTTTGAGCAAGCTTCAAAACAAAAACAAAAAACTTCAGATATATATATAGCTTACCATATGTATACCAATTACTGGGAGATTCACGTCAAAAAATAAAATAATAGAGGTATTTGATTTGAAAAGGAAGATGGGCATGGGCGAAAGATGTCTATAGATGCTTGTATTTGGCGTTATTCCTATAACATACCAATGCCATAGTCCTATTGCACAAAACTCCAAGAAATAGAACATGCATGAATGCACATTGAAGAGACATAATAAGACCAACTTGATTCAGCTATTTGGTTTCTTCTTCTTGGAACTAATCATCTCAATAATCATTTTTCTTTATCCCCTTAATGGACAGGCTGTTTTGACATTACTCTTTCTGCCTTACAACTATATGTGTCTTTATATTTCAATCAGTGAACCATTAGTCCGTGATTCGTGAAGAAGCCCCACTTCCCACATTTCTTGGCATTTTTTTTTTCCACTCTCAAAATATAAGATGTATAAAGTCAAAGAGTGATTGATAATATTGAATTCTAAAATTCGGGGAATATTTTGCAAACACTTCTAGTATATAGTGTACATGTGAAATGGGTATTATATAAGACATTCCAATTTGTATTCCTTATAGCCTCTTAGCAATTAGCATTATATAAGTTCATTATATAAGTTCAAACAAGGCTTCGATCCGATTTGTCTTGTATACAATTAATGGCGTCTAATTCGAGGCTAGGTTTTAAATTTCACTAGGAAACAAACAAAATAATTGCATATAATGCCAATAAATTACGCAACCTGTTTGTGAAATAAATTTCTCATAAATCGTTGAATTGAGATTACGAATGAAATAAAAAATTATATTGTCATTGGAATTAAAAAAATAAATAGAGTGAGGGGTATTGGTTGCTGAGATTCAATTTTTTTTCTCTAGAAAATGGCACGAAAAGGGAAACAGAGATCTTGTACATAAGAGCTAACCTAAATAGTAAATAAAAATAGTTTAATATTAATAATAAAAATTATTTCTAAATTTTTGTTTCATATTATATCACACACAAATTAATATATAAAATCAGATTCCACGTGCATTTTACATATTATAATTTTACTAATTTTTATGTCTAGAGTTAACTTTTTTTTTAAAAAATTTACGAATGATTATGATTTTTTTTAAATCTTAGGGACTTTTATTTTTTAAAGAATTAATATAATATAACAAATTTAGTGCGTGCTTAGATTATTCGTAATGGCATTCTATTACATTGATAATAGTTGCATTACGTTGCACTTTTATTATATTTTTAATCTTGCAATAACGTTAATTAATTAATACTGACAAGTTATTCTCAATTTATGTTAGAATATCAATTAACTGTGATAATTTGAATTAACGTTAATTAATAGTTATTGGTCGAATATTATTAATTGATAATTAATTAATATTTAGAAGTTGAATGTTGAAAAATAATAAGAGAAGAAGCTTACCATATAAACTTATTTTTGGAAGAGAAAAATGATTAAAATGATAACTGGTGACATACAACTTGAAACTTGAAGCGATAGACTTTATTTATATATTGATTAAATAAATGATTTAAGAAATAGAAATATAAGTTAAAAATATCCAAGCATAATCTTCTTATCAAATTCACCTCCTGAATCCCAGTCATGAAAACGAATCAATTTTGATTCATTATTATTGTAAAACGTATTTACTTTTTATCAAACTTTTTTACTTCTGTGGATAATGTGGATAAATTATCCATGAACGATCATCAGGCAGCCATCAAACACACAATTTTTGCGTTGACACTAGATTTTATCAGTTGAGCAAACTCTTATGGACTAATCAAACACCACTAAGGATTAAAATGTGGACAGAGGAAGATGGTAGAACTCATTTTGGTTGTACTAAAAAAGCAAGAACAAGAATGCTGAAGGTTTGGAAAAAAGCTCTCATTGTAAAACTACTTGGAAGGAATACAGGAGTGGCTTTCATGAAAAAGAAGATTGAAATACTATGGGCTAGAGCTGGAAAGATTAACGTTACAGATGTAGGTAATGGATTCTATGTGGTGCAATTTAGCAACAAAGATGATCTTCTTTTTGCTCTAAATGGTGGTCCTTGGATTATTTTAGGCCATTATTTATCACTCCGACGTTGGGAGCCAGCTTTTAGACCAAATGCTGCAAGTGTGATGAAGATTGCAGCTTGGGTGCGATTACCGGATATCCCACTGGAGTATTATGATGAAGCCTTTTTCCGCCGTATTGGTAACTGGCTAGGTAAAATGTTGAAGATCGATAAGACAACTAATGAGCATGTAAGAGGACAGTTTGCTCGAATTTGCGTGGAACTGGATCTTGCTCAGCCTTTGAAGGGTGAATATGTGTTGGACGGAGCAACTAAACAGATAGAATATGAAGGTTTAGGCCTTATTTGTTTCCATTGTGGGCGCTATGGACATAGTAAAGATTGTTGTCCTGAGATACCAGTAGAAGGAAAGGATAATCAGCAAAATCAAGACGGGAAAAAAGATGAGGCTGAGTTTCAGAAAAATGGATTAGGTCCTTGGATGGTGGTGCAACGTCAACGTCGATCAAAAATTCAAACTCCAATGGCGGACAACAGGAAGCAGGAACCGGTTCGAAGGGAATCAAGGCGTAATCAAGAGAGTAATCAAGGGAGTAATCAAGGGAATAATCAAGGGAGTAATCAAGGGAGTAATCAAGGGAATAATCAATGGAGTAATCAAGGGAGTAATCAACCGCAATCAAATCAGCCGGTTATGATTGATAATCAATCAAATTCCCGTTACGCTGCTTTAATGGGCTCTAATGAAGATGATATTACTCATGATATCCCAACGACTAATCCGGATGCTGTTATAAATGACGTCAATATGGTGGGCTCTCCTGTTAATATTGATATTAGTACATCTCAAGGGTCCAAACACAGAAACCCTAGAAGCCGTCCTAATGTTGAATTACAGGAACACCCCAACCGATTTACGTTAAGTGGGATTACGACAGGTCATGAAAAAGAAAATCAAATAAATGGGAAGATAGTTGACAGAGGTACCTCAAACAATAATACAACGAACTTGAGGAGGCAAGTTGCGATTCATAATAGTAAGGACATTGGAGGTAAAAGCGGTGGAGATTCCATGGTGGCTAGGAGTACTGTTGCTGATTATAACAAAGATTGTTATCAAATGGAGGTGGATAAGGATGGTCAAAATATCAACGGCTTAGATCATGGCTTGTCCCAAC